CTGTACACGTCCAACTCCAACGGCACGTACTACACGCAGGCGCTGCCGTTCGTCAACCGCGACGAGTCCGGCCTGGTGGACTTTGAGCGCCTGCGGGCCCTGGAGGGCGTGGCGCTGGCCAACGTGGTGGCTAATGCCCAAGACGTGGCGCAGCGCGGCGCCAAGAAGCAGCTGCAGACGCTGGTGACCGACGACGGCGGCGCGCGCTGGCACTATTTGCGCGTCACGGGCGACCGGCTGCCGTGCCGCGTGACGGCGCCCAAGACCGGCACGTGTGCGCTGCACCTGCACGGGTACACGGAGGTGTCTGATCCGGAGAACATATACTCGGCCGCCGGCGCCGTCGGCCTGGCCGTGGGCGTGGGCACCGTCGGCGCCTCGCTGGGCCGGCTGGGCGAGAGCGACACGTATCTGTCGGCCGACGGCGGCGCGTCTTGGCGCATGGTGCGGCGGGGCGCCATGTGGCACGCGTTTGGCGACCACGGCGCGCTGATCGTCGTGGCCGACCGTCTGAAGCCCGTGGCGTCCGTCGAGTATTCGCTCGACCAGGGCCGCTCGTGGCTGACGCTGCCGCTGCCGGAGAACGCTCGCGGCATGCGCGTCGACCGCCTGGCCTCGACGCCCGACGCCACCAGCCGCCGCTTCCTCCTGCACGGCCACCGCGACGCCGCGCCCGACCAGGGCATCCTAACCAGCCTGGATTTCACAGCCGCCCAGCCGCGCACGTGCGTCTCCTCTCCCGATGGCAAACCGGACGCCGGTGACTTTGAGCTTTTCACGCCGGCGCCCATCTCCGGCGACGGGTGTCTTTTGGGCCGGCGTGTGCACTACTACCGCCGCAAACCCGACGCCATGTGCGCCGTCGGCGACGAGTTCCGCGCGACGCGCTACCTGGCCGACACGTGCGAGTGCACGGCGCGCGACTACGAGTGCAACCACAATTTCGTACGCGACCCCTCGAGCGACGCGCGCTGCGTGCTGATCGAGGGCATGCAGGCGCCGCGCACCAACTGCACGACGGGCCAGAAAGACTATTTCGTCATCGAGTCGGCCTACCGCCGCATCCCGCAGTCCATCTGCAAGGGCGGGTTGGTCTTGGACAGGCCCAAGGAAGTATGGTGCCCTGGTAAGGCCAGCTTCATGGCGCTCCTGTGGTCGCTTTTCCTGGCCGCTTTCTTCCTCAGTCTGGCGTACGTAGCCTACCACGTGTGGCGCGCTCGCTTCCCCTACCTGCGTCTCGAGGACGTCGGCTCGGTGGCCGCCCCAGCGCTGCGCCATCTGCAGGGCGCCGAGGAGTCGCGTGTGGCGCGTCGGCTGGCGCCCGTGTTCTTCGGCGCCCTGGCCACCGCCCGTGCCGTCGGCCGGGCCGCCCGCGAGTCCGTCCTGTGGTCCGTCGACCGTGCCGCACCCTACCTGCCACATGCCGTGCAGCGGTGGTCGTACGAGCATCCGCCCAGGTGGGGCAGCCTTACTATGGACGGTCGTGACCGCCGTGCCGTGCGCTCCGACGCCACGCGCTACCGCTATCACCACGTGGATGCCGGCGAAGCCGCCGCGCGAGTGTTCGGCGATGGAGTCGATGAGTACGATGAGGTTGAGGCTGGCTTTAACCATTTCTTGCAGGAAGAGGAGTTTGCCGCTGGTGGCTTTGCTGAGCATGATGCCCAGGTGGTCGACCGCCAGGTGCTTTTCGCTAATACTGAGCTGTCAGACGAAGACGACGATGTGGTCCGCCATGCTGACGCCGTGTTGTCTGGCGAAGAGTCGGCATAAACTGGTGCTGTCGGTCATGTAAGACTTTATTCTATTTATATTTGCTTTCCAACTACACACTTTACATTTTTCATTTGCAAATACACATTGTATAACATAAAAAACTATCTTGTTTAAACAAGATAGCCGCAGGGCTATATGTTATCACTATATCTACATGTTTCAAATATCACATAACATTGGTTTGAACCAAGAACAATCGGATGCAAGCGATCGAATTGGATCTGATCAGTTTTGAAATAGACACTTTTGCAATAAATATAAAATTTGTACCATATTAACAATTTTGATTGCTTCGTTACCTTGTTATAACAGTTTTAACTGCAACAAACTGTAAGTAATATTTTTTACACACGCTGAACTGCACACGATATATGCAAACAACCCCGCAATCAAACATCACAGCGCAGTAAAAGCAGTACCAATTTTTTAAAAATTTACATTTTTAAACCTTTGCTTTAGATATTATGTCTATTTTTAACGCAAAAAACCGAAGGTAGCTCAGCGGTAGAGCGGGAGACTGTAGTGTTAGCGTGGTGTAAACTATGCTTCTAATTGATATCTCTAGGTCCCTGGTTCAAATCCGGGTCTTCGGAACGTTTTTTGCTTTGTTTAACTTTTTATTTGCCGCCAAAAAGTTTAAAGTGTACGGAGACAAGTAACACGATATGTTTCACGTCTATGTCAAAATAAAAGTCAAAAAAGAGTGCATTCCGCAACGGGGAATCGAACCCCGGCCACGACGGTGAGAGCGTCGGATCCTAGCCACTGGACCATTGCGGATTAGCCAATTACTATCTCAGTAATCAACATTTTTAAAAACCTTGAAATTAATAAGTGAACAATCTCTAATGTAAACAAAGCGTTTTTTTAAATTTTTTTTTGCACATTTTAAATAGTTTTACATTTTTGCTTTGCATAC